GGCCCAACTCGGACCGGCCCTGGCAGGAATGGCGGCCCAGGAGAGCGAACGGGACCGTCCGGTGCGGGCCAGGAGGCCGTCGCGAAGGCTGAGCCCGGGCACAAGGCTGGGCAAAGCTGGAGCCAGCGGGTGCATGGCGGCGGGAGGAGGCCGCAGCAGGCCCGGTAGCAGCGCGGTCAAGGCCTCGCCTCCCAGCGCGCTACCGGGGCATCGGGGACATTCGGGGACACTCCAGGGGGCTGAGCAGCGGGCGGTGGTGTTCCGGGCGGTGGTGTTCCGGCTCCCAGGTCGGAGAGGACCGTGCCAGGAGCGGGGGCCGCGGCAATGGCCGGGCCCCCTGGAGTGATGTACAGTGTGGGGCCGTGGCCCAGGAGAGTGTCAGGAGGTCGGCGGACACAGCTGGCAGGGCCGGAACCGTGAAGCCATCGGGCCCCGCCAGGGGCTCTCTTGGCGTGCTGGGTGAGGGGAAGGAGTTGCCTGGGGGTAGTGGAGAAGAGGGGGTGAGGGGGAATAGGCTTGCCACTCTAGGGTTGCAAGGGGAAGGGAGATGGGATTGTTGGGGGAGCTCAGGGTAGTTCAGTGGTGCTGAGGAAGGGGCGGGTAGTGAGGGGGAAGGGGTCAAGGGCGCCTAAGGGGTCCCTCAGTACAGCTAACCCCTCTGGGATTAGCTGTGGGCCTCTGGGGGGTTGGAAAGGAGCTGGATCAGGGCCCCCAGGCATGGTCGGCAGGGGCGGACCGAACGCGGGGGGGAAAGGAGTCATAGTCCCCGGGGTGGGGCCGTCCAGGCCTCTGGAGAACGGAGTACGGGGGCCACACGGTGGGACGTTCCCCGGGTCGGGAAGGGAGGGTGACAGGAGATCGGTACACCCTACCCAGGACATCTTCTCCTTGTTACAGGTCTCGGAGCCGGTCTTCCTCTGTGTTAGCTGGGCACCGGGTTGGCTCCCCGGTCGGCGGGACGTTAACGGAGGTCGCTCCTCCAGGACGGATAACAGTGGACGATGCAACCCCCAGTGCTCGGAGACTGGGGGGTTTGGCCGTTGGGTCCTGTACATCATTGGAATCCAGTACACTGGTTCACACACTACAAGCACTTCTCCACTCGCTGGGAGCAGAGGGTGACATGGGGGGCGATGTAGGTCAGGTATGGGTACAGGGGACATGGGCCATGGGTGTTATCTCCGCGGAACCGAGTTCGAGCGGGGATTCGGGAGCGGCTGGCAGCAGGGCAGACGCAACGAGTGAGCGGGCGGAGTTGGCTGGTGGGGGGGTCCCCGATGCGGCCAGACAGCACGCATACGTGTCGTTTGCAGGTCTGCTCGGGGTGCACCTCAAACAGGAAGTGTGTAGCGGAGATATAATATTCCACAGATTATCTCTGCTTAAGATCCCAGTGAGGCTCAGGAACAAGTAATTATAAATCCCCAGGCAAGGTTTCCAGCAGGTAAAATAATCCAATAGTATCCCAACAGCAATCCCAATAACTGGACGACACACAGCATCAGGAGCAGAACTGCAAGCTTTATTCCACAGTGGCCTTTTAAAGCATGCTCCCATGCAAGGGAGGGATTACATTCATTAACACAATAGCCAATCCTGTCCTGTTAACCTCCCACACATCTCCTCCCCTCAGCCGGCATCATAATCCCCTTATCCAGTACAGCAATCCCCCCCATTTCTGGATGTACCCCTAAACCTAGGGGTACCACTTTAAATTATGCACCCCCTGGTAGCCCTGATCTGGGTGACTAACATATCCAAAAATCACCCAGATCAGACCAGGGGTTCGGGAATTTCATGGAGGGAATAAAATGACCGATCGCACTGGATGAACTAGCCGTGCGATTGGGCCCTGCGGTCGGTCCTGGAAAAGGCGAATGAAGTACCTGAAAGCCTCCAGCTATAGAGGCTGGGGAGGGTTCGCCTGAATCCCCTAGTTCGGTTGATTATGCCTACCGAACGAGGGGCCGTTCGGTAGTTTGGACCCGAACGGACCAGGCTGATGGATGTCCCAGCGGTGTTCGCCTAGTCGAGTGTCCATTTTGAGTTCCAGACACTCGACGGCAAAACACGTGTTCGTTTCCCGAATGGCGGCCTCCCCCGAGAACAAAGGATTGCTACACAGCTTGTCAATTACCCATTTGCAACAATGTTGCAACGGGTAATTGAAGGCACACTTCACACAGGGGAGGTCTGACTGTTCGGTAGTTTCATTCGAATAAACTAAGGGAATGAAACTACCTAACATTCAGACAAATACAATACATTTAGCACATAGAACTTTGCTATTTTACACGAATGCATTCCATTACTGCATATACATTTAGCAAATAGACAAATACAGGTTAAAAATAATACAAGTCCCAGGACAACTCATGGCCATCCGTTACAAAGTGAAAGACAAGATCTGGAAGGGCGAATTCTGTGAAATCTTTTCCCTTCTCCCCTTAGAGGAGTTTATAGACCTCAAGGAGGAGGATAGGAAAGATGAGAAAAAAGAGGAGGAGGAGAAAAAGAAGCGGTATCGTAAGATACCAAAATCTTTCGGCAACTGGCTGAGGGCGTTCTGCGTCCTGGCCAGTGTCCTAGGTGAGAAATCACCGGGCTTGTGCTCCTCCCTGTTTTGCTATTTGGATGAAATTTGGGAGGCATACCGCTCCTACGGCAGTTACCCACAGTTCCGGCAGCGTTTGGCGGCCAATCCGGGCATGAGATGGGACCAAAAGGACCTGCCCCTCTGGATGAAAGCCGCTACGGTAACAGGGCGGACGCCAAGTTGCTCCGGGTGGGCTTTGGTCAAGGGTTCTTTATCCCGTTCCGGGACAGGGGGGAGTCTGGGGTACGGTGCAACCCTGAGTCGGTGGCGGAGTTTCCAGGGGTGGAACAGGAGAAATTAGAAAAGGAAGTCTTTATGGGTAGGAAGGCAGGCCCGTTCCCGGCACCGCCATTGGAAGGCCTCAGGATTTCCCCGCTCGGAGTGGTACCCAAGAAAGATCCCGGGAAGTTCAGGCTCATTCACCACCTCTCCTACCCCAGGGGAGCGTCGGTGAATGACAATATCGACAAGGAGTTGTGCTCAGTCTCATATGCATAATTCAACCGGGTGGTCGAGCTGGTAATGAGGGCCGGACGCGGGGCGCTGATGGCAAAGGTGGACATTGAGGCGGCATTTCGGTTGCTTCCGGTCCACCCAGCATGTCACCACCTGCTGGGGTGTTTCTTTGAAGGGGCATACTTTGTGGACTTGTGCCTCCCCATGGGCTGTTCCATCTCGTGCTCATACTTTGAGAAGTTCAGCACTTTTCTCGAATGGGTAGTACGGGCGGAGGCGGGGAATGGATCGGTGGTGCACTATTTGGACAATTTCTTTTGCATGGGGCCGGCGAGCACCCTTGCTTGCCGGCGTTTGCTTCGGACTATCGAGTGGGTCACGGGCTGCTTCAGGGTCCCGCTGGCAGCAGATAAAACGGAAGGCCCGGCAGTGTGCCTTAGTTTCCTGGGGCTGGAGATTGACTCGGTACGGGGCAAATGTCGGCTGCCGCTGCCAAAGCTACAAGGGCTAAAAGGGGCGGTGGCAGCAGTAGCGCAGGCGCGGAAAGTCACCCAGTGAAAACTGCAGTCGTTGATCGGGATGCTGAATTTCGCTTGCCGGGTGATCCCGATGGGTAGGGTTTTTAACCGCAGCATGTCGGCAGCTACGGCGGGGGTGCGATCCCCAAGCCATTTCATCTGGGTATCGTCTGCCATGAGGGCCGACCTTGCTGTGTGGGATACCTTCTTGCGGGACTTCAATCGGACAGTGTTTTTTCAGCAGGAAGGGGTGTCGGTGACAGAGCTGAAGCTGTTCACTGACGCATCGGGTAGTGTGGGCTTCGGGGCATACTTTGGTGGAAAATGGTGCGTGGAGAGGTGGCCCGTGGCATGGGGGCCGAGCGCCCTTATGTGGAACCTGGCTTTCCTGGAATTGTTCCCGCTGGTGGTCGCGATGGCTCTGTGGGGTGGAAGGGCTGCGGGACCGGAAGGTGGTCTTTTTCTCGGACAATACGGCAGTGGTGCACGCAGTGAATAATCAGTCGGCAGCGTCAAAACCGGTGGTCCGGTTGCTGCAGCGCTTCGTCTTAGTGTGCATGTCTTTCGCGTTCGCCATGTGCCTGGGTACCAGCTGACGCTCTCTCTCGTTTTCAGTGGTCCCGATTCTGGACGGTGGCACCGGAGGCGCAGGAAGTGGGTCAGGCGCGCTGGACGAAATTTGACGGCTGGGAGCGTCCTGCTTGGGGGACTTGTGAAGGCTTCCCTGACACCGACCACATGGGCCGCTTACAGTAAGGTGTGAGGTTCATGGGAACGATCTTGGGCTGGGTCGGACTGCGTGCCGGAAAGGGAATCGCTCTGGGACGCGTTTCTGTGGTACACCTGTCAATGGCTGGCAAAGGGGGCCTCCCCGGCGGTGGTTGACAGGTCCATGGCGGCGATGGCTTTCTGGTTTAAGCTGCATGGGAAGGAAGACGTTACTAAGTCCTTGTCATCAGGCAGGCGCTTAAGGGGTATCGGAAAGGGCACAGGTTTCCAGACACTAGGCACCCTGTGTCGGTGCGGGTGTTAGGGGAAATGGTTAGTGGGTAGTGATGTCGTGAACCGTTCGCGAACTTTTCGCGAACGGCTCACCACGGTTCGCCGTCTACTGGACAGCATCCATGTTGAAGCTGCCTTCAACATGGAT